AATTTTTTTTTTTTTTTTTTTTTTTTTTTTTTTTAGTAGAGACAAGGTCTTGCTATGTTGCCCAGACTGGTCTCAAACTCCTGGGCTCAAGCAATTCTCTCACCTTGGCCTCCCAAAGAGTTGGAATTATACGAAGAGCCACTGCTCCTGGCCAACCCCAACTTTTTTTTTTTTTTTGAGTTGGGAGTCTCGCTCTGTCACCCAGGTTGGAGTACAACGGCATGCTCCTGGCCACCCCAGCGTCCACCTGCTGGGCTCCAGCGATCCTTCTGTCTCAGCCCTCCAAGTAGCCAGAACCATAGGCACGCACTATCACACCTGGCTAATTTATTGTAGAGATGAGGTCTCACCAAGTTGCCCGGCTGGTCACAAACCCACGGGCTCAGGCAGTCTACTCGCCTGGCCTCCCAAAGTGCTGGGATTACAGGCTGAGCTACCAAGCCTGGCCAGCTCCAACTCTTGAAGTCTGAATTCAGGTGGGCAAATGACATCCCCCAGCATTTAGGAGGGACAGAGAGACACCACTCAGCCTGGTTGGGCTGAGGCAACGGCCCACCTCTCCTGGATAAGCTGTCTGCCAAGAAAACTATTGAACTACATAAAAATCCATCCCTGAAATCCCAGAGGCATCCTTAGAATGGAGTGTGGACTTTAAATTAGAATGTGTAGCGGAAAAAAAGAGGCAGCTTTTGCCTATAACTTGATTTCAGAATTGTGAGGGTGGTGGCCAAAGAGCACTGGTTGCCCCTGGCAGAGGCCACCATGCTCAGGTCCTGAGTACTGGCTGTGAAGGGAACCTCAGTCCCATTGAGGTTCGATGTATAACTGGCACATGTTCCCATGGAAACTCTGCTGCCTGCATTCTCTGGAAATTTTGCTGAGGCGGGGCTGCTGCTTCCCGCACCCACAAGCTCCCAGGCTTGGCTTTCTAGGATGTTTTTCTCAAGCAAGTGCTGGAAGGAGCAGGAACCAAGGGAAGCTGAAACCCACTGGAAGGGTCAATTTCTAGTCATTTAGGACCAACTTGCTGCTCTAGAGGGACAGGCAGGGAGCCTGAGGGTATCAGAAGTCATTGAAATGTTTCAAATGCCCTGAGGTTCTGAAGAGGGTAGTGCTGGCAAGACCTCGGAGGGCAGGATAGTCTGGGCCAGGAGAGGTGGTGGGAAATCCCATCAGGGCAGGGCCAGAACAGGCAGAGGGAGGCATCGGCCAAGACCCTGAGACACAGCTGTCCTTGTGCAGTGGAGCTCTGGGACAGGGTCCCGCCCTAAGCCTGGGTTTACTCTCAGGACGGCTCATATCATTCCTTCCTTCAAGGTCCAAGGCTCCCCTTCTCCAGGACCTCAGCTGCTCCACTCAGGCCCCTCCCACTCGCTTAGCTCCTCCCCTCCCGGGCCCAGAAGCCCCTTCCCTCACCTCTGATTGCTTCGCCTCCACCCCCAGCTCTGGGCAGCCCCCATCTGTCTGCCTGAGCATTTTGCTTCCGAGGTGCTTTTCACAGTGGTGACTGCAGAGCCTGGGTCCCCACCTCCCAGGGAAACCTGCCCCATCATTTGGCAGACACCTCCCCCCCACCCCCACCCCTGCACTGTCCCTAGCAACCTGTTTCTCCTGAAGGATGAATCTTGAAAACACACACCCGCTGTGCCTCTGCATGAGCCAGGGAGTCCCCATCTGTCCTCTTTGGGAGACACTGAGTGGTCCTGATTGTCACTGGAAACCGAGTTTCATGTGGGCAGTGACTTACCCAAGGTCACAGGCTGTGGGAAGTGGAGTTGGGGTTCAGAAGGAGCTCTCAAGAGAGCCCCTCCCTTCTCTCCTCCACCCACTTGGAGTGCAAGCCAGCCTCAATGAGCAAACCACTCATGCCCTCTGTGCCCTCTCTGTTCCTTCTCTTTCCTCCCTGCCCCTGCACCCCCTGCTCTGAGTTATCTGCCACTCCTCACCCCTGTGCCAGCTTCTCTCTGCAGCCTCTCTGGGGTGGGGAGTGAGTGTTCAGTCTTTTTTGCTGCCCACTGGAGGTCCCAGAACATTTTTCCCTCCACCTTCCTTTGTGTCAAGCCCTCTTAGGATCCCACCCTTCCACCTGCATCTTCTTCCTCCTCTACCTCCTCCTCTTCCTCATCCTCCCTGCCTCTCTCCTCACTTACTGAAGACCCACTGGCCGTCAAGCCTTGCCCCGAACCGGGCTCAGCCACCACTCTGGCAACGTCTGTGTCCACCAGAGGGGCAACATGTCAGTCCCCAAGGGCCTTACAGGGTTCAGGGAGGATCTGAGATTTTATTCCAAGTGAGGTGGAAACAGGTGTTTCCTGTTTCCAGCAAGGTGTTGAGCAGGGGCAGGACAAGACCAGGCATAAGTTTTATCAGGATTCTTGTGGGGGAGAGATGGCGGAGCCGGACAGCTGCAGGGAGGCCATGTGGTGAGGCCTGGCCCAGGGCACCATGCTGAAGTCCCCACCTGGCCTCTCCGTACCCTGAAAAAGGCTGAGTCCCAGCCAAAGCATCTGGGTCCAGAGGTTGAGGACGGAGAGGCCCAGGAGGTGGGGAAGACAGGCCCTGTGAAGTGGCCCCCTCTTGCCTTGCTGGCTGTGGTTTTCCCAGGGGAGGCTCACGGCACCCTGAATGGCATTGTCACCCTCCATCCCCCCACCTC